GGAGCCAGGGTACAGCACTGGCAACCCTCTACTGAACGGAAGAGCTGGGATGAGGAAGAAGCAATGCTCTCAAATACTGGAAGTTACGGCAAACAACTAATATTCTCTATTGCTGCTATTATGCATTTAATAGCAGGACTGAGCAGGGATGAAGAAGTTGGGAGATAGGGAAAATTACAAGCTAAGCTGACCATGAGATCAAATCTTCCCAGGTTTAAGTTGAGGTTTGGTTCCACCTCTCCCGCTTAAATATTAATGGAATACTATGGATCCCGTGATGGCTGATACTTCGAGAATAATGGCACTGACTCCAGAAATCCCTGTTAGTCGGTATCTCTTTCATAGGCCAGATTCCAGAGAATGATGTAGGAATTTCTGGTTCACTTTATATTTCTACTTTCTAAGATGGAGTGACTTGCCATTTCTCCACCCATGAACTTCCAGGACATGCCCTCCTATGTGTCCTCCTTTAGATCCCTCTGTCTTCAATTCCATACACAGAATTTGAGAACCAGGCCGGGAGGAGGATTGGAACAAATTCACAGTTTAGTAACTAGAATTCAGATACTATAAACTTTTCCAGGTTGCTTTTCCTGTTTCATTATTATCATCAAAGTTAACTCTCACTGTTCAGGTAGTTCTTGGTCCTTTTGTTCTACTCAGTATTTTATCTGATCACTCACTGTGCAGACTTTGCATCTCTTTTTAAGAAATCCCGATAGCTGGATTAAAGTTTAATGGCTACACCTGATAGTTTAAAAATCTCAATTTGTTGGAAAAAGATTATCTGAAATCAAGCTCTTCACAGCCATCTATTTCTCCTAACTTTTCTTCCTCCAAATTTTCAGCCTCCTTGGGTGTACTTACTTCAAATCTTAACTCATTACATTTCATGTCTCCTGCAATAATTAAGTTACAAAAGTATGTTTAAACATCAACGTAATTGTTTTAGCACATTTACAAATATTAACTACCGTGTTTAAATCCTAATGCATTTTTCTGTGCCTAAAGATTAATTAAATCATTAATAAATCAGGCAAATTGTGTTTACGGATTTTAATAAAGACACAGTTTGGTGCCATTGGGATCTTATTTTTGTAACCAGCCCATAGATCTTTGGCCAAAATGGGCAGCTGCCCAATTATAGCAATTATAGCATTAAGCAAAGTTAATTCAATTTCCCATAATTTTCTCATTTGGAAATAAAGATCTTCTGCCTGTATTAAAAACATGGAAATATATATATATAGAGAGAGAGATATAATCAGTTAACATATGCATAGTAAGCAGATGCTATTCTTTGCCACCTATATTTCCTTTCAGGACTGAAGAACTACTTTCCTTGCTCTCTGTGTCTTTCCGTGGGGATGGTTGAACAGAGGGATGTAGGGTGGCCCACTTGTAATGATTGCTATACTCAGGAGTTCAAAGATTTCAGCCCCTCTCATCAGAAAGCTGGAGAGCTTTCTGTGGGATCATCTGAGGCATCTGTTCCAACAGTTATTTCAATACTCCCTCTCTGTCCAATCCTTGTTCCCTCACTCCCTTACTGGTATTTCAAGAGCAGTTCCCAATGAAAATTCAACATACAAATTTCTATCTCAGTGTGCTCTGGGTATGTACAGTAAGATAAAATATATCTGGAAATATTTCAAGTTCAATTTCTTAAAGCTTATTAAAATGTTTTGTGTAACTCCTTTATTTAAACGTGTATTTATTTACTTTTATTTAGTCCCCAGTATGTACTAGACACAACACTAGGTCCTTGGCTAGATTCTTAATCTTCAAAAATCTCATATGAGGTATTACATTCAAATAATATTAGGAATTTTAAGAGAAAAAAATTGTGGCTCTAGACTTTTTCTTAAAAATCAAGGGTGCTATAAATTTACTTTTGGTCAAATTTTATGAGATTGAATAGGTAAGACAGACAAAAGACTAAAGTGTTGAATTTAAGAAATACATGATTTCCATTCACTCCATCACTGATGACAATCAGTGAGATGTTAGTCTGACTAGGCAAACAATTACAGGAACATCAAGGTAGGTATGAAGAGAGACCAAATCCATCAGAACAACAGTTGTGTTTTTACAGAAATAGTTGACACTGCATCTTAAAAGTACACCCATGCATTGCTTAACAAGGGGGATACATTCTGAGAAATGTGCTGTCAGGCAATTTTATTGTGCAAATGTCAGAGTATACTTACACAAACCTAGATAGTACAGCTTACTACATACTTAGATGATAGGCATGGTATAGCCTATTGCTCCTAGGCTAAAGACCTGAACAGCATGTATGTTACTGTGTAGAATACTGTAGGCAATTGTAACACAATGGCATGTATCTATCAAAACATAGAAAAGTACAGTGAAAATATAGTATTATAATTGACATGGTTTGGCTGTGTTCCCATTCAAATCTTTTTTTTTTTTTTTTTTTTTTTTTTTTTTTTTAAACAGAGGCTTGCTCTCTCACCCAGGCTGGAGTGCAGTGGTGCGATCTAGTCTCACTGCAAGCTCCGTCTACCGGGTTCACGCCATTCTCCTGCCTCAGCCTCCCGTGTAGCTGGGACTACAGGTTCCCCCCACCAAGCCCGGCTAATTTTTTGTATTTTTTAAGTATAGATGGGGTTTCACCACGTTAGCCAGGATGGTCTTGATCTCCTGACCTCGTGATCTGTCTGCCTCTGCCTCCCAAAGTGCTGGGATTACAGGCTTGAGTCTATTTGAATTTTATCTCCCAGAATTCCCACACGTTCAGGAGGGGACCCAGGAGGAAGAAATTGAATCATGGGGGCTGGTCTTTCCCTTGCTGTTCTCATGATAGTGAAAAAGTCACACAAGATCTGATGGGTTTATCAGGGGTTTCCCCTTTTGCTTCTTCCTCATTTTCTTTTTTGCCTCTCACCATGATTCAGAGGCATTGCCAGGCATATGGAACTGTAAGTCCAATTAAATTTTTGTTTCCCACTTATGTGTATGACTTTATCAGCAGCATGAAAACAAACTAATGCAGTATATTGGTACCAGTAGAGAGGGGCCTTACTGAAAAGATACCTGAAAATGTGGAAGCAATTTTGGAAATGTGTAACAGGCACAATTTGGAGCAGTTTGGAAGGCTCAGAAGACAGGAAAATGTGGGAGAATTTGGAACTTCCTGGATCCTTGTTGAGTGGCTTTGTCCAAAATGCTGATAGCGATACAAACAATAAAATTGAGGCTGAGGTGGTCTCGGAGATGAGAAACTTATTGGGAACTGAAGGAAAGGTGAATCCTGTTAACATTTTAGCAAAGCAACTGGTGGCATTTTGCCCCTGCCCTAGAGATTCATGGAACTTTGAAATTGAGAGATATGATTTAGGGTATCTGGCAGAAGAAATTTCTAAGCAACAAAGCATTCAAAAGGTGACTTGGGACTGACCTGGTGGCTCACACCTGTAATCCCAGCACTTTGGGAGGCTGAACTGGGTGGATTACCTCAGGTCTGGAGTTTGAGACCAACCTGACCAAAATGGTGAAACCTCATCTCTACTAAATACAAAAAATTAGCTGGGCATGGTGGCTCATGCCTGTAATCCCAGCTACTTGGGAGGTTGAGGCAGGGGAATTGCCTGAACCCGGGAGGCAGAGGCTTCAGTGAGCTGAGATTGCACCACTGCACTCCAGCCTGGGCAACAAGATAAAACTCAGTCTCGAAAAAAAAACCAACAGCATAAAAGGTAGCCTGGGTGCTGTTAAAGGCATTGTTTTATAAGGGAAACAGAGCATGCAAGTTTGGAACATTTGCAGCCTGACTATGCAATAGAAAATAAAACCTATTTTGGGGGGAGAAATTCAAGCTGGCTGCAAAAACTTGCGTAAGTAGCAAGCAGCCGAATGTTAATCCTTAAGACCGTGGGGGAAATGTCTCCAGGCCATGTCAGAGACCTTCACAGTAGTTCCTCACACCACAGGCCCAGAGGCCCAGGAGGAAAAAGCGGTTTCATGGGCCAGGCCCTGGGTCTCCGTGCTGTTTGTAGCCTAGGGACTTGGTGCTCTGTGTCTCAGCCGCTCCAGGTGTGGCTGAACAGGGCCAATGTACAGCTCAGGCTGTGGCTTCAGAGGGTGGAAGCCCCAAGCCTTGGCAGCATCCACGTGGTGTTGAGCCTGCAGGTACACAGAAGTCAAGAATTGAAGTTTGGGAACCTCTGCCTAGGTTTCAGAAGATATATGGAAACTCCTGGATGCACACGCAAAAGTTTGCTGCAGGGGCAGGGCCCTCATGGAGAATCTCTTCTAGGACAGTACAGAGGGAAATGTGGGTTGGAGCCCTGACAAAAAGTCCCTACTGGGGCACCTCCTAGTAGAGTTGTGAGAAGAGGGCCACCATCTTCCAGACCCCAGAAAGGTACATCCACTGACGGCTTGCACCATGCACCTGGAAAAGGTGCAGACACTCAACTGCAGCCTGTGAATGCAGCTGGGAGGGAGGCTGCACCCTGCAAAGCCACAGCACCAAGATCATGGGAACCCATCTCTTACATCAGTGTAACCTGGATGTGAGACCTGGAGTCAAAGGAGATCATTTTGGAGCTTTAAAATTTGACTGCCCTGCTGGATTTCGGACTTGCATGGACCCTGTAAACCCCTTTGTTTTAGCCAATTTCTCCCACTGGAAACGGCTGTATTTACCCAATTGCCTGTACTGCTATTGTGTCTAGGAAGTAACTCGCTTGCTTTTGATTTTACAGGCTCATAGGCAGAAGAGTTCAGATGAGACTTGACTCAGATGAGACTTTGGACTGTGGACTTTTGGGTTAATGCTGAAATGAGTTAAGAGTTTGGGAGACTGTTGGGAAGGCATGACTGGTTTTGAAATGCAAGGACATGAGATTTGGAGGGGCCAGGACAGAATGATATGGTTTGGTTGTGTCCCCATTCAAATCTCAGCTTGAATTTTATCTCCCAGAATTCCCACATGTTGTGGAAGGGACCTAGGGGGAGGTAATTGAATCATGTGGGACAGTCCCATGCTATTCTCATGATAGTGAGCAAGTCTCATGAGATCCGATGGGTTTATTAGAGGGTTCTGCTTTTGCTCCCTCCTCATTTTCTCTTGCCACCGCCATGGATGAAGAACCTTTCACCTCCCGCCAAGATTCTGAGGCCTCACAAGGTATGTGGAACTCTAAGTCCAATTAAACCTTTGTTTCTCAGTTTCAAGTATGTCTTTATCAGCAGCGTAAAAACAAACTAACACAATAATCTTAAGGGACCACTGTTACATATGTGGTCTACCACTGACTGAAACATTATGAGATGCACGACTATAAACCAAAAAGAAAAACAACCTACAAGAGCTCTCTCTTAACACTTAACATGAAGGCTAGGCTAAAGAGAGGAAATGCTAAAAGGCTGGCTCAGAGACACAGGAGGATTAAAACCAGAGCTACGAATATCAAACGGAGTCCTTTGAATAAATATATATATATAATATGTAGATATTATATATAGTAAGTAGAGACAAATAGGAAATGTAAAGGCAAGACTGATATAATAGTTAATTTTAGAGTAAAAGAAATAGTTATATATTTTTGAGCACCTCTTCTGTTTTTGCCATTATGTGAATATAGTCAAAAAATGTGAGAAGTTTAAAAATGAGCTATAAAGAATATATGAGAAATGCCCATTTCCTACTACTTAAAAAAATACTGATTTTTAAAATTATTTTTCAGTAATCTCTATATGTAACTTTTTTATTTTTTAGTAATTGGCAGTCTTCATCAACCACTTGAAATTCTCCTTCCAAGATGAGCTGGATGTGAGTTCTCCCAATTCACCCTTTATGTATACATGTACATGATCACCATGTGATGTGTTTATGTTTACTCAATTTATACAAATATGCTATACACAACACTAATTTTTTTCTTTGATATTATGACATTGTGATTCATCCATGTTGATCTGTGTACATCTACTTTATTCATTTATATACTATAAGGTATTCTATATGGCTATATATTATTTATGAGACTTAGCATACTTTACTTATAGCTATTGGTTTAAGTTGCTTCTAAAATTTTGCTGTTATAAACTGTCTCAGAGTTTGGACAGGGTAAGGTAGAAAACAATTACATTTTAATGATTATTATCATTAAATAATGGGATACTTTGTCAACGACATATTAGAATACAAGAACCCATCAAACTGACAGTGCATATTCTGTAATACAGAGTCATTTCCTTTCTTTCTTTCTTTCTTTTTTTTTTTTGAGAAGTTAGCTGTGTTGCCAGGCTGGAGTGCAGTGGCACGATCTCGGCTCACTTCAACCTCTGCCTCCTGTGTTCAAGTGATTCTCCTGCCTCAGCCTCCCGAGTAGCTGGGATTACAGGCACGTGCCACCATGCACAGCTAATTTTTGTATTTTTTAGTAGAGATGGGGTTTCACCATGTTTGCTAGGATGGTCTTGATCTCCTGATCTCGTGATCCATCCACCTCGGCCTCCCAAAGTGCTGAGATTACAGGTATGAGCCACCGCGCCCAGCCAGATCATTTACTTTTTAACCTAACAGGTTACTATGCTAGAAAATACAGCTACATGAAGAGAGTTGCCTGTTCAAGTTTTGGCCTTTAGTAGAAGAACACAGGTAACTAACAGTGACTTGGTCTGGAAGGCACCAGGGAACTAATATTCTAATCCTACATTTCTTTTGCCCTTCAATCTTCTATTCCTGTCACTGATAGCATCAACCCAAATAAAACTTGGAGGAAAAGGTAAAGAAAGGTCATTGGTACAGCACAAAGACCCAGCCTCCCAGAACGCTGATAGGCCAGAACAGAAAAGGGGGGAAAGTGGACCTGAAGGAGCAAATTGCAAATAAACAAACAACAACAACAAAAAGAACTCTTTTGATTAACAACTTTCTTGCATGCTCATGTCAAACTATGTCTAAATATCTTGGCATATATTAGGGAAGATGCTTTTTCAATTTCATTGGGTAATTATTTGTCTAGGTCGCCCAGTCTCCCCCATATAACTATAGTACCAAAAATGTAAAAATAGTTTCAGATAAAAATAGAATTACCATTCTTTTTTGTTCTTAGATGATTTATGAAGTGTCCATTGGTATATGCATATGTGTATCTATTTTCCTAGGTCAGGAATGTACAGAACATTTTTAAAAATGCTTTCCTATGTAGTTTTCTGCTTCAGTTCTTTTTTAAGAATGAAGCATATTCAAGAGACTAAAAATAATTTTAATTAAATTTTATCCATGTAAAAAGGCTTCTAATTCTTTTTTCAAATTCATTTTCCATTGAAAATAGTCAAAGAAAGCAGACAAAAGGTTTTCCTTGCTTCAGAGTACTGGTTTAGTGTACCACTTGGGAAATTTTTTCTTGGGTTTTATACTTTTATAAATAAAGTGACTGTAATAAAATGAAAGCTGTGAACCCCCAAGTGCCAGCATGAAAATAGTAACAAAACTGACATAAACATACAAATATATAAACATTATTTATTTACCAACCATGAGCTTGTCATTTTCCCTAGGGATGCTGTCATTTAAAGGACATTTTTCCCTCTCCTCTTTGTTTTCACAGCTATACACATAGCTGATAAATATATTTGTAAAAATAAAAATGCCACCACATCCCTGGGATTCAAATTCCCTGCAGAGGTTACTACTCAGAACACAAAAACGTTCCTAGACTCAGGAATTGGCAAGCAGAAAGGTAGGGAGTACAGTAATAATATGTAGTAGGCTAAATTTTTTTTTATTACTTCTGCTAGGATTTCCAATTTTATCATCTACCATTTGCTAAGCTCCTGCTCTACGCTGTCCCGGCTGTTTAAAAATATATGATCTCTAATTTTAAAGGAACTGTGAAATTTTGTTAACATTATCCTCATTTTAAAGAAACTGGGCCTCAAAGAATTTAAGTGACTTGCATAAGCAAAAATAGCTAAATTGAGATTTCCATGAGGGTGTGCTGATCTCCCAAGTTTGCAATTGCTGACTTTCATGCTTTTGATTCAGAACACTCTGTAATTTTCACATTATGTATCGACATATGTAACCTACATATTAAAGATTTTCTTGTTTGAAAAATACTGAAAATTAAAAAGGAGAAAAGCAATTATAGCAAGTGAAAAGTAAAAGACTTCTTTTTCTAGTCAAACCCACACCATTTCCACTTCTGTCCAGGAATCATCATTAATGGTGTGAGAAGCATTCCTTCTTTATTCCCCACAAATGTATACAGATATTAGTGTTTATTTTTTCTTCTATTCATCTATTTCCTATTTTCACCGTGAGGAGCAAACCTTACATTAATTACACCGGTAAGAGTTCCTTATCTGTCTCTTGCTAGACAATAGGGTGGAACAAGCAAGTGCTATGGGTGGAGGGTCACTGATGACAGGGGTCGCCTTTCGCCAGGAGAGCTATCATCTTGCCTACTTCTGTTCCAATCCATCTCTGTTCTTGCTCAATACTGACTGTGGAAAGTGTAAAGTGGAGTGACAGAGAAGAGACTGAGCAGAGTTCCTAATCCCTAAGAATACATTCACAAATGTAAGGTGTTTTACAGAGGGATGGTGCTTTCAGATGCTTATCTGAGGAGTAGTGTATAGATCAGACTAAGAAACTAACAGGAACATTAGCGTATTTTAATTCAACTGCATCTCCATTTAAATCGACAGAATCAAGTATTAAATATCAGGGCCAAGATTAAAATGCAAATAAACATTTTAGTGTATTTTATTCATAGAATTAACCTTAAAACACCAATCGTGCTCACTGCGGCCAATCTTCCTTCTCCACCTTTCCCTTAAGCTTTGCCAGCAATAATCAAACACCTTCAGAATTTCTCAGTAATGCCTATACACCTTTATCTAATTTGACTTGTTAGTGGTATTTGCACTGGTGAACACTGTATCTTCTTAAATCTGCCTCATCCCTTGACTTTCATCACTGTCCCCTCTTCTTCCCTGGCTATTTTATCCCACTTAAAGTTGTACACATTTATCTTCAAATACCCATTAAGTGTAGACGTTAATCAGGTTTTGAGCTTAGCCCTTACAACTTTTTCTTGGACCACTGCAAACTACTTTCTAACAGTATTTTCCTGCTTTTAATCTTCCAAGTCCACTTCCAATATATCCTGCATATTACTGCCTGTTTAACTTTTCTAAATACAAACCTGAGGATCTCTTCTTTACTTAACACTCTTTATTGCTTTGGAATGAGACAAAGTCTATGCTAACCTCTCAAGCAGTATTAAAAAACTTTTGCTTTGTCTGGACCTCACCTTCCTCTTTGACTAGATCTGCAGCCCCCTGGCATACGTGCCTTGTACTCCTCTCCCCTGAAATCCTTGTCTCCTATGTGGGTCATGCTCCTTCCAGGCCTATGTGCATTTTAGATGCTTCTTGCCTAGCTCACTTTGCCCATGTTTTCTCACAGTATTTCAAAAGCTCTACATATCTTAAGTGAAAAGCTCTACATATCTTAAGTGAAAAGCTCTACATATCTTAAGTGAAACCTTACACAACAACAACAAAAACCCTCATATTGCTGCACTTTTCCTGATCAAGAGAAAGCAATGGACTTTTCCTTTGTGGCTTTATAGCACTGAGGGTATATCTCTATTAAATGGTTTACTTTTCTGGGTGTTTTACTGTCATTGTTGTTTTGTCTTATGCACTAGAGTTAATGACTTCTTGTGAGGAAAGAGGCTGTCTTCACCTTTCAGTATGAAGTACCTGGTAGATGATGTTGCTTGTAGAAGCTGCTTAGTATGTATCAAAAACTGCTTAATAAATATCCAATGTTACTGGGCAAATTTTTCTAATATTCAGTAGAGCCTTGCTCTTTATTAGACATGTGTTTCCATTGAGAAATGTCTACTTTTTAGACCTGAAAATTAGCAGAAATATTTCTACTGTACAATATTTCTAAGTATGCCATTACTATACAATACAGACATAGCAGGAGCAAGGCCTGTGTCAGTTTAAAAATAGAACACTTTGTGTTCATCAAATATGACAAATTGACAATTCTAGGAATAGAAGTCTATTTTTGTCAGGTTTATTATATAATAAAAAATGGCCACTGAGAAACTGAAAGTTCTTTCTTCTTTTTAAGAATTCTGTAGCCATTTACTTGGAGGAGAGTTATTTCTGGAGGTTTCAAATGGGAGCTGATTCCCCATTTCACCATGACCTGACTCATACTTCTTTTATAGCCCTTCACACCTAAGAATTGTGAACTAACTTAGGGAGAGGGCATATCTTTTTAGAATGCTAACAGTTACATTTCCATTCAGATAATGAATAAATCAATTATTTTGCAGTATTTTGTCTCAGAACTAAAAGACGACTATTTTGTAACCCCCAAGAAGACACCTTAAGTAATTAAGGACATTTGTGATGGTTTCAACAAAACTCTTCTGAATATATGGAAATTGAATAATTTAAATACCCCAATAACTTTTCAAATCTAAAAATCTAATGCTGAGAAATGCAAAACACCATCTGAGACTTTTCTCTATATATAATGGGAACATTAAAAATAACTGAATCTATACCCTTTAGATCTATACTCTGCTGATTCAGTGGTTAATAACACTGTTAAATACATGTAGGAAACTAATTTTTAAATATTCTCTACTTTCAATTTTGTGAAGTTGAAAGCCATGAGTTCAAGCCAAAAGCCTGTGTATTAGAGTAAAAATCAATTTGGGGTACAAGTAAAGAAAGAAAGGGATTTCAAGAGTAGAGGACTCCCTAGTAAGACACAACCCATAGATTTCT